TCGCCGTTACTCTGCTGTTTAAGCTCTGCTAGCCTTTGATGACGATAACATGGCAACGACAACACTTCAGTTTTCTTTAACTTTTCTGTTAAACAGCACAGAAATCAAAATGGAAGTGAAATCCAGAGTTATTGCAGGGGTACGTGCTCTTGTCATTCAGGTTCTGCATCAGAGGTTGTAGGGCTTAAACTTAAGGTGTACAAGGCAATTGAATTACTGTGAATTTATGCACTTTTCACTACATCTCTGAATGCAACTGTACATATGCATTCGAAAATGTGAATATCCGTTGAAAGTGAATAAAACGTGCGACGGTGATGGTTAAGTCTTGCCAGACAATATAGCCTTCACAAGTAACTAACTCGTTGCCTACATAGACAGCGTGGTTTAGGTCAGTTTGTCCAGCTTAACCTTTTTCACCAAAGAAACTTTTCGCATATTGAAAGGAAGCTGTAACTAACCGTTGTTTCAACCTCACATGTTGATAGCTGATTCTGCTGGAAGGTGATCTGTAGGTCCATGGTTAGGGAATTTTATGGTAGGAAACGGGTAGAGGAATGTTTCTGATTCACTCATTTCCCGTTTGATATCGAACAGCTGGAAACAGCGATCTGTTCTCTTAGCCTGATATTTTGCCAGGCTGTTTATGGGTCAGACACGTAGAACATGAAGATGATCTGGATGAATGATTTCAGTAGTGCTGCTAAACATATTCGGGCATATCTGCGATCATCGGCAGTATCAGTAATCACAGTAACAGCGATAAATCATTTTATTAATTATGCAGCTGTACAGCAGTCGTTTTGCAGCACTTTACACGGAAGAATATAAAGCCTGTGATATTCTTTGAGACTAAACTTTTCGATTGGTACTTTACAGAATTTGACTGCGCCAATCGGTTATTTCTTCCACGCATATTCAGCATGCCTTATTCGAATGCCACAGAGGATGAATTCGTTGCAAATATGTAACGCAGAAAGTTTTTTCTCTGCAAGGTTCTGAAACCTGGATGCTGACAGCGACAACGATAAAGACATAAAAGCGTTAGCAACAAAATGCTCTCTGCTGCCGCTGCGGATTCCGTAAACGTGGGACAGGCGACGAAGCCAAAAGTACCACTGAGGAACCGTCATTCCTTAATAAACAGCAAAGCACTACCATTGCTAGCATCCGTCATACATCGAAACATGTAGTGTTTAGGGCACATTCGCGTTTGGAACGTCCTCACGAAAAGCATCACTCAAAGCATCGTAAAGCAAAGAAAGCCGAAGACGCACACCAGAAAAAGCGTTAGATTAAAAACTTAAACAACTGGACCACGAAAGGGACAACCTAGTTAATTGGTGTAGCAGCAGACCGCCAAAAAAAGAAAATGTTTTATTCTTAGTAGGTACTTTGCCGCCCGTATGGTCATTTGGTCATGGTAAATGATGATAAGAATTATGTTTCAGAACTGTATGGTATTTCTTCTTCGGTTTTACGGTAGACGGTTCTTTCTTTTACCTTGTTAGTGCAGGTTATTGCACGATATATTCATAAGGGATCCCTATTAGGATATGCCGAAAATATGCCTTTGCTTTGAAAGAATTTGCCTACAGGACTTTGTCTGCAGTGCACATAAGATATTCCTGATTTTTTGTCATTGGAATTGACGTGCTTCACCTTGCTAATGTCTCTTTCAGGTTGAAACTTCTTTGATTCCTGTTCCTTAGTACACGATTTCTTTCTGACCATGAATTTTTTAGTTGATCATAAGCCGGAAATATGCAATTTCCAAGAGCACGTATGAAAAATCTGGATTTTAGCATGACCGTATTCACGATTAGCAGCAGTCACTGTTTGTTATTGCCTAAAATCGGTTGTTGTTTAAAATTACCATTGTTTAAAATATTTACATTTTTGTTGTAGGTGAGACGTACTACTTTGACGTGTATTCCCAAAAAAGCCAGTGGCAGCGGCCGACAAAGCCATCGTTTCCTCCGGATGAACCTCAACCAAAGCTTCATAAGGTACGCTTGTAGAAAGGCTGTAGAACTACATGCCGCATATTTCTTTGCAGTGCAAATAATTCAGTTTATGGCTGAACTTAATTTACTTTGTTTACGCACTGACAGTCTTTCAGAACCCGATGTAAAAATAACTTACACAGCGCTGAAAAGTAAATCTGCACGATTGTGGTCTTCGGTTAGTTTCGAGGTTGTTTTCAAAAATTAGTTCGTTTCTACTCGTGATGAGTTCGTGGTTCGTGCTGCCGCTTTCGCAGCAGCGAAAGGGTTGGCCAGTTTCGGCACAGCTCGTCTTTTTTGGAACGATTCATGTTCTCGTAGATGTTTAATTCGTCACTGACTGACCTGTTCGGTAAATTTTTTCTCTGACGATGACAGTATATTCTGATCATTGGAACGTGCTTTTTCAGTGTCGTATGTTCCTTTTTTAATTTAGTTTGTGGTACAGTAACATAGTATTGAACGACTAGCATTTTTCTAGTCTAAATACTCCTTGGCTTGTTAGTATCTGCAGAGGTAAATGCAAGTTGCAATGCCCTGTTGTTCAGCACATCACACATGGAAATCTTGAAATAATTCAGTTTTCCAAATCTTCGTTTTTCTGAGTAATCATCAGCTAGAAAGGCCAAACAAAACTGCAACTGTTTGCATCCACACTAAAGGTGGTATCTTCGAAAGGAAATTTACAAGCGATCTAGGCGTTGATATAAATTTGATCAGTATATTTATATTTTCTTTCCTAAGTCCCACCTCCACATCCATTGATAAGGTGACAGTAGATTCTTAAGAAGATGTACAGCTGAACCTTTATGCACTGTACGCTTCAGCCATGCTGTGAAACCTTGACAGATATGCCCAGACAAGTGGAAGGCCAGCGTGCTTGGCCAGTGTAGTGAGTTATGGCCACTTTCTCTAAGATGATATTACAACCAGAAGTGCCGCCGTCATTTCCTGAAGGATGGATTGCCTCCGGCGAAAGCAATAGCTGACAGGGATGAAGGTAGAGGGTGCCAAGAATACCCACGTTATGAACCGGAAGTGCAACAGCTTACTAACGCTGGCAGCGTACAACCTCAGGTCACTCTTAGATGAAACAAGGCTTAAGAATTAGAAGAAGAACTTAGGAAAATCCAGTGGGACATTGCAGGACTCAACGAAGTTAGACGAAAGGAAAATGGGCTGTTACAGCTTAAAGGTGGGCACCTATTGTTCTACAGGGGATCACAAAGGAATGAGGTTCATTGGATACAGAAGATTGAAGAACAGCGTAGACCAGGTGAACAAAACTTTACAGGGGAGCGCAAGACTAGTCTTAAGAGTTTCAAAGAGGTATAATTTCAAAGTGATCCAAGTATATGCGCCAACATGAAGTTATCCTGATGAAGAGTTTACCAAGAAATGGAAGACCATGAAAGAAGAAAATGCCATTGCAATTTCATCGTTGATTTCAATGACAGTGTCTGATCGCAGCAAGGTAGCGAATTCTTAGGGGGGTTGATTTAGTTAAGACAGAAGGAATGGAAAGGTTACCCACTAGTGGAACTTGCTGAAGAGAACAAGTTGTTTATTGTGAACATTTTTTCAAAAGAACCGTGGCATAAGATGGACATGGAATGGCCAAAACGATGTTAAGAATGAAATCGATTTCATCGTCATAGTATGAAACAAAATGTGCAGGATATCGCGCTGCTGAAGATGTTCAACGCAAGTAGCGATCACAAGTTCATCAGATGCAAAATGCGTCTGGACTCAGCTTTGAAATGAAAGAAATTGCTGACGATGAGACGCAGTGTACTCGACATGGAAATATTTGAGAACCTGCCGCGATTCCAGCCCTTATTTAACGACCGGTTTGACTTTCCTAACGATATGTTTCTACATTTTCAGCTTGATCAACCGTACCGGTGAGATAACGATGAAAAATACTGCGCTAGTGGAAGAAATGGCCGCATTTTGTGAGGAACCTAACTTTGGGCAAAGTGCTTTTTTTTCTGCTACGTGATAAATTCAAATTCTAAAAATTGACGTAATGATCGTTTCATTGACTTACTCTCTAGAAGTCTTCAAAGAAATACGGAACAAAGACTTTTTTCGACCATGAGAAAACCATTTCAGCGAAGGAATTGTCAGCCTGAGGCTAGATGAGGCTGTTTAGTCGGTAGAGTCTCAGACTCACAGTCGAGGGATCGTCAGTTCATACTCCGGTCGGATCACTCATCTTTCATTCTTCAGAGATAGATGAATGAATTATTATTCTTAGAAAGGAAACAGATTACACGTTATAATGATTGCTTAGTTGTGTACTAGCATTAAAATGGCACTCGCATATTGTGAAACAGTAGCAGAGATTACCTCTGAGTAAATGAAGAGGGAGGCGATATCAGTGACACTCGTTCATGAGCATGCAAAAGAGACTGCCATTTCAGTGGTTATACAATTTTTTTTTTACAGCTGCTGTACACGGAGATAGATTTCGTAGCTGGAATATCAGAAGCTCCCAGTGAATGGTTCAGAACGTTTGGTATCTATTACCATTGCTTGCTATCATCAGCACTGTTTGGCATATTCATAGGACACCTTCAAGAAGACGGTGCTCTCAAACCGTCCACGGAATTGATATCACTCAGTGACCAAGTGATCAGCAGTCTTTGATCAAATGATTAGCGATAACGTTCTGCTAGCCGGCATCACACAGGGAAGGATTGGTTTGAATTCGAGCGCAACACCTTTAAACTTCATACACTCTGAAAATGCCACATGATTAGCTCAGGCAAACGGGGGCGGACAGTTCAGATGTCCCACACTACGTATAAACTTGAAAAATGTTCAGAATTCAAGCCATTTAGCGCAGCACTCATTAGCGATGCTATATGCTGAGGCAACGAACAGTGTTGTAAAGGCAGCGGGATACTATAAAACCTGGAACAGACCTAGAATGAAAACTCTTTAAAGCAAGATTTCCTTGTTAACAGTTATTATTAGTTGTTATTTTTGATGTATTTGCGTAGTACGACTAGTACTAAGTCGTATTTAGTACGACTGATCAGCTCGGTTCTCGGATACTCCTCACAAGCAAGTCACTAAGGTTGTAGGTGGTAATGGAAAGTTTTGACGACCTTGGTCTGTGAGGTATGTCAGCATCTTGTTATTGTTGTTGTCGTCGTCATCTGGTGTATGAAGTCAAAGACACAGTACCCATGATTAATGATCAGGCCTGATGTCAACTTCTGCTAGATAATGTTGAATATCTGCCCATACCAGCGTTCTTAGTTACATTTGTAAAGCTTCTATCAGTTTAAACTCTTCCGGCGATGTTGCTTTGTCGTTTAAGGTTTGTAGTACATCTGCTACGGCTGTCTCTCATCAGCGAAAACATGAGGGTCGAAGAAGAAACTATCGTTTAGATGCTTGACTCACTAAGCTGTTTGCTTTGATGAAACAACTGTTATAAACGTAGCTTTTCTTGTGACAGGAGGATGAGGAAATTAATGACACGCATCCTTAACATCCAGCAACCTTGCGAATTGAGACCGTTTGTTATAATAACAAATTTGCAATATTTTGTCGAATTTATTCTGTTTTTCAATATCCTGAAGGTATAACACTATTTTGTGACTTAGTAGCTAGTTGTCTTAGTAGCTAGTCCATGACCCTTCGAAAGTGGTATTCTTCAGCTTTTGTAGGTAAAATGCTCACATATATTGGTGAAGCACCGCAATTCTCGCAGACCCTCTTCTTGGCGTCAGGACAAAATAACTCGTTCCAAAGAAGATGCGCTTGAATTGATTGAAGGTAAAGATGAACTATTTATATCTATGAAGTTGCTTTGTTGATAACTTGTATTGCCCCTTTCAAACTGTTCTGTTGCATTTGCCCTCACTTTCGAATTGTAATAAATGTCCGTTGTGTGCAATTCACTTTTTGTGCTTTCTCTAAAGCCGTTACACATGCACATGCATTTGGTGGTGCCAGCGTCGCTTTAAGTTAAAAATAGTTCCATATCTACATTTGAGGATAAATGCTACTCAGTGGTTTCTTTTATGTAGCAAAGTTTACAGAACTTAAAACAGCGTCATTTACGGCGATCGGCGCATGCAGTCCGGCTCAGGAGTAGAAAAGTCAAACTACGACAGATTGCGAACTACATTATGACGATTAAGATGCAGAGAAATTAGACGTATAATGCAGCACCTTCTGCAACAGAATACGGTCCTTTTATTCACGCTGTTAGCCGCAAATATTTCCGAGAGAAGGAGGTAAATGAGTATACATGTTACACAATAGTAAGATTATTGATGCGGCATGGATTTGAGCCACTCTGGAGACGCGTTAACAACGGTTGAAATTCCGTGAAAACGCGAATACTGAGATAGATGTGTACTCACAACGCAAGAGACCTCACGAACAAAACGTTTTTAAAGAATGCATTAAGGATAGACGCAAACTTACCGTAAGCGCAGTAATTCAGCATGTGGTGCGAAAATCTCAGGAATGCATTGCATTGTGATCTGAAAACGGATAATACCAGGGAACAGCAAAAAATGGGTGACTCGATGTTGTGACTACGGAACAGTCATATGAAACTACGCCGAATGACCTTAGACTGGGCTGTGGATGGAAGAATTTTTAGGAAGATGACTTGTACAGCAGAATCCTATTAGCGGGAATGCATTTGGAAGAAACAAGTAGGAGAAAGAGAGAAGGAATTAAACCGCACGTTGGTCATTTCCACTAAGGTTGTCTGTTAGATCGCGGCTGACCAGTCCCTACAAATTTAGATGTTTTTATGACCATAATTTGGGATAAGAAAATTGTCATGCGTTGATTTATAAAATCTCTCCCGTTTTGTCAGTTGTACACAGCTGAAAAACCGGTGTGTTGCATTTCTTGAAACACAAGGGATGACGACAGTCTCCTGGAAGGTTACTTTATACGCCATCTACCTGTTACTTGATGATAAAATTACATAAGTTCACCGATTAGTCAATTGAAAGACCTGCTGCTTCAGCTGGTTGCTATCGCAGATCACTTATTCCGGACTTATGGTTTTCTCCGACTCAAAAAGAACGGCTATGCCATCGTTCGCCACGCAGTTCTGCCGATCAGTCACACCAGCAAGATTTGTGACTAAGTTGCTTCTACAGTAATTGAAGCAACCACGCCGTCAGGCGAACGTTGTTGGATGACATCAACCAGCCATTGCACAGACGATTTCTTAAAGCGGTTTCAGCGCTTCCTGGAACCCGATACTCGATAGACGCAGTTCAGTTATGCTGTTCATCTCCGGATGTTTCAGAGATTTAGATGAGCAGAAACAAATAATTATGCAAGACCTCACGTCACAATGTGCAGAGTGGTGAAAACTCTCTGCTTTACATAATTTGTTTAATGTTGGCATTTAACTCACTGACATGAAAATACGTCTTTGTGCTGATAATAACTTTGTTGTTCAAGCGAATAAATCTGATCTAATTGTAAAGTGTTATTATTCGTAATATTAATGAGGGTAATTTTGTTCTGCTCTCATCTGGTACGTATTTCAGGCTACAAGGAAAGCCTGGATAAAGGTAAGTATAAATTTTCGGAAATCGCTTCGAAATACAGTGACTGTTCGTCGGCGAAAAACGACGGCGACCTTGGGTATTTTAGCCGCGGCGAAATGCAGAAAGCGTTTGAAGAATGTGCATTCGCGCTAAAAATCGGCGACGTAAGCAACCCAGTGTTCACAGACAGCGGTGTGCATCTTATTTACAGGACTGCTTAAAACTCATATCAGGCAACTGTTTTATCGATTTTCTTGACTGATGACTTTTTTTATTATAAAGCATTGCAGACGCTGTTATTTATTAAAACTATTTGTGTTCTACAAAGCAGATACCGCTTTGTGTCCATTCGTTTGTCACACCGTGTTGCTGG